ACACACACACAAACATACACACAGTATCTTCTCTGTTACTTTCTTGTGATGATAATGACTCGGTTTATTTTTCCATGTCTTTGTTATTGTCTCACGTGTTACTCTCTAAAGATAGTAACATCTCACTCAGAATGAAGACTCAACTCATTTATCCACTTACTTACCAAGTAGTTTATTCTTTCACTACAATAACTGTTCATTCGGCTTATTTATCATTTTAGCATGAAGTCATCCCTTTGCTAACACAGTCACTAAGTAATACATTCCCACTCGCGTATATTCTTAACTGGACTGAGCCTAACCCCCCCCCCCACCACCACCCCTCCTCTCAAACAACCCTACGGTACTCTTTTTTGGAACATAACGGCCTAAACCATCCCACCATGTATAAATGTTATCTTTTTTAAGCATTTATCAATCAATCAATTTATTATCAGTTTCCAATTTTACCGTTAAGCGTCTGAGTGGACGCGGGGGTGGGGGAGGGGGGGTGGGGGGAGGGGGGGGGGGGGAGATAGTTGGCGTTTTTTTTATGGATAGCGCTGTATAATGTCGATTCCTTGTAGATTGTCTTTAAGGTCATCGGTCCATCGTTTCAGTGGGCCCCCTCTTGTTTTCACGCCAGATCTGTTTAGATGTTTAAATGTAGCACCCATGGTAGTAGAAGTTGCTGCTGCATTGTAACGAGATGACAGAACCATTTGATCAACTGCTTCTCAGTTAATTTGGTGCAGGGTGGTATTCTCACAGTCTGTCTCGCAATATCGTCCCTCACTCTGTCTCTGGATGGTTAGACTGGCGGCTTTCATCAATCATCTAACAGTAAATGTGTTTTGATTGCCTCCATAAATCACCAGCAATGACAGTTGAGCAAATAAATTCGCTACCTGTTTGCTGCACCTGACATATATATTTTTGCTCATTCAGCACATAAATTAATTGTAATTAATGTAATAATTATTATATAATATTATTATTTTTATTATACAGTTAAACAATGCATAAGTCCCATGAGCTCCCGCTACCCAGAACATTATAGAGGGGCTGAACTGCCAGTCTCAACTGTTTTCTCTTCTGGTGGCGCGAGTAAATACGTTTTAAGCTGGGCCGCCCGGAAAGTTCAAGTCAATTTTTAAAAACTCCCGTTCAGTGATGATTGGAACAGATAACCACCGGCAGACAGGCAGCCCACGCTACTGCTTAACCACGGCACTCTAACACTGTGTTGTCAACGTGAGACTTGGTCGCTGTAAACATTTTAATAGAAACCCGTCATCTGACTGTTAAAGTACCCCGGAAGGGATGGGGCAAAATCGCTAACGACACAATTAGAAATGTTGGATAAAAATCACTAGTTATTGAAATAATCAAGAGAAGACCACTCAACCAACAATACACCCGATTCTTTTAAAGGTCTGCACGTAGAGACAGGTAAACGAAAACAAGATAGATAGCATCCTCAGGGGTATGCTAAATACGGCCCACTATAGCTTTTGTATAATGCCATTCAGGTCAACGTGTTCCAAATGATTGAAACTGTAGTTTAATTTGTGAATAAATCTACTCGATAAACATAGTGAACACATACCTGTCCATTGGAGTTGCACAAAAAACGGGAATTTCCATTGACCTGAATGGTCTTATAAAAAGCTATAGTAGGCCGTGGGTAAACAGACAAAAATAGGTGTAACGATGACAACATATCTGGTCTTGAAATACGCTTATACGACTGCTTCGTCCAACGTTCAACAATAAGTGTGGGTTAGACAGGGTTCATTGACTGACTCTTTACCCCACCAGGACATCACACTGAGCAATAAACACACAGTGACACAACGTGCCAATATTCGGATGAAGATCGTCCGTGGAGAGGTCCCAGAAACCCCGTTCAGACGTTAGGTTTTATTAGGGCCCCCGGCGACAACCATAGTGAAGCTACAGAATAACCGAAAAATTCGTCCCACGTGGAAACGCAGCAGTTGTCTAAAAGGTTCATTGTTCACCAGAGACAACATCAATTGGAAGATGTGTTACAAAGGTGAAGCCAGCAAAAGCTGCATGACAGAAGATGTAAAGTATCTTATGTCATAAACCACTTTATTTAAATGGCTCAAAGAGAATATTTGCAGGCTATCTGCACCGCCAATTGTAGTTATGATCCCTGTATTTAGCGGTACTATATACAACCGGTTCTATCATACGGCAGTGAAACCTGTAATGCGAACAAATATTTCAAGAAAATATTTAAAGCTTGGGAGTATATCTGACACAAATGTTGCCAGTAAGTTGGGTTACCAGCTGTACTGCTTGTGTTAAAAAATATTTCAGGACCGTGTAGGATAGGGCTGTCTTTAGTCGGCGGATTTAGGAAGGCATGTCTAGCGGAGTCGTCACTAACAGTACTGGTTTTAGTTTTGCCTCGGACCCTTCCCCCCCCCCCCCCCCCCCCCCCCCAAAAAAAAAACCACTACCCAAAAAAAAAAATTTCAATGTCCTACAAAGCTTCGAACCCGTATCTATCACAAAAATTCAAGTGTTCTAAACACTCTGAGAGTTGAGTTGGATAGGCAAGGAATTAACGATTGCTGTCTGTGTGCGCGCGTGTGTGTGTGTGTGCCTGTGTGTGTGTGTGTGCGTGTGATGTGTGGTACCCGGGGAGGGGTTGGCTGTATGTAAATCGTTGTATCCATGAGAAAAGAACAATATATTCTTTGCTCACATCCTCGTCTTCTCCTTTTCCCACTCTCTTCGTTTCCACCTGAAGATAGTTTAAAGCACAGAGCACGCACTGTGTAGCTCCGAAGACGATTTTTTTTATTAATAAGTACCAAATCCGTAGAAAATATTCTTTGAATGCAGGAAGTAAACGTCTTTTCGGCCTAGAGGTACAAGTACTCATGGGACTAGACCAAGCTCTTAAGGCAGAACAGCTGGTGTGCTCCACTGTACGAAAGATCAGACATCTACATCCCAGAATCTCTTTGATCCTTGTGTCAAGCAGTTAACTGATGGAACTTGAACGCATACAGAATGAAGCCTTGTTAGTTATTCTGGGATGTACAAGAGACATCCGATAGTACCTATGCGATATATACTTGCACTGCCTACTATAGGCTCAATTTTCTGCAAGCAAAGTCATCTTAGAGTAGCTGCAGACAAGAAGCACCTCCTGCATGAAGCCCTGGGTAGAGCTAAGGGTCACTAACCGGAAAAAAAGAAAGGTCTTAGATGGCGCAAGCTAAAGACACACTTAGACTTGTGTGCAGGCTTGATACGTTTGTGCGATGTGAGGAGTAGGTCAAAGTGTCCGAGCAAGTTTCAGACTTGTGTAGGGTTCTTATTACTTTGGGTCGTGAGTGAAGGGACTGGCCAGCTGGCACTGCGGAATCAGAAGTTCAAAAATGATTCATGACACTTCCTGCCTAAGTGATGTGATTATCTTTACAGATGGCTCTGTGTTGAGGGGCAGACGAAGTTCATGGAGGTTCAAAGCAAAACCGAGTAGACGTTGCTTAGTGCAACAAATCTTTGCATATGATATAACAACGCATAGTTTGAGAATGGAGGTGGAGGCAGTCACTGTTGCATTTCACTGCTTTGAGAATCAGCTGTACACACATGACGTGTATGTAACTGACTCAAAGAGCATGTTGAGAAAGGTGGAGACTGGCATGCTCTGTGCAGATTGGCAAGCATCATTTCAGAGGTCATGAATAGTTAGCATCCTTTGGATATTCTCTCTAGGGTATGCCGGTGTGTTAGAAAATGAGCAGGCAGCTAGACTGGTCGGTTCTTCACCACTTGGTGGTGAAATGATATATGACAAGTTAGATATTGTGGGAAGCCTCTGGGAGCGAGCAAACAGTGCTGACGTGCAAATAGATCATTACAGTCGGAGGAGAATGGCGTTGCCAGGAGTTACCAGGGGATCTGGCAGACGCTCAACATTCAAGGAAAAGGCGAGACGGATATACAATCAGACAGTTACTGGTGCCATCGGACTGGAAGTCTCCGTTTGCTGCTGAAGATGGGGAAAGCGCTTATGGGAAGTGTCCCGAGTGCTATGATGTGGACTCTGAATTTAACATTCAACATTCTTTGGTAATATGATGATAAGGGAAATTTTGGAAACATTTTGGAGAAAGGACTATTAGAAAAATAGGGAAAGGAGAGGGTTTGGGTGGGGGGGGGGGGGAGTGTTGACTGTTGACTACGGGAAATAACGTTTGATGACCGAGACAGTGTCATTAATGCGTTACTTCAACGGGACTAATCCAGAACAGCAGAAACGACGGAGACACGTGACAGCCTGCCATCCGTCAAATTATATGATGATGGTGCTGATGATGATGATGTTGATGACAATTACGAGGACTGTATAAACTAAGAACTGATCTAGGTGACGGTGCTGCATATTTTGCAACCCTGATTGCAAAAGATAAGTTTGTTAACGTCTATTTATAGTTTCATATAGTATCTGATAAAACAAGAATGTTACAATAGTTGGTGTAGAAAACTACTACTAAAAGATAACAAGGTACGCACAATCAGAAACAGATGAAACCAGAAACTATTGCATGTGATAACTGTGTCCTGGTGTGTAGCAACAGGCTCTTAGTCTTCACAAGAAAATGAAAATGTAAGTATTTTAACTTTCAACCCTTCCCAAAATGAGACACCATTTTGTTTATACATATAAAAGACCCACACTCCCTGGACTTCAGGCTGCTTCGTAACTGTCGTTCAGGAGCCCAAATATAACCTTACGGTTGAACGGGATCTCTGGGACTTGCCCTTGAGGGAATCTTCTCCGAATGGTGGCACTTTGTGTCACCGGGTGATAATCGCTCGTTGTGCGGTTCTAGTGGGGTAAAGGTCATTTAGTCATGAAGGTACTACTTGTGAATTTTGGGAAGCTTTCACGATTTTCTTTGTATACAATTATGCAATTACTTTGCCAGTTTTCAGCTAATGATCTGTCGAGTCCTCCATTATTCTTTTCCTTATTATTATTGTTATTATTAGTTGTACTAGTAGTATTGGTAGTAATTGTGGTAGTAGTAGCAGTAGTAGTAGTAGCGGTAGTAGTAGTAGTAGCAGTAGTAGAAGTAGTAGTAGTAGTAGTAGTAGTAGTAGTAGTAGTAGTAGTAGTAGTAGCAGCAGCAGTAGTAGTAGTAGCGGTAGTAGTAGTAGTAGTAGTAGTAGTAGTAGTAGTAGTAGTAGTAGTAGTAGTAGTAGTAGTAGCAGTAGTAGTAGTAGTAGTAGTAGCAGTAGTAGTAGTAGCAGCAGCAGCAGCAGTAATTTAATCAAAGATATGGTGTTCAACCTTTCTGAATTCTAATTGTGATATGCAGAGCTTTGTCTTTAAAAATCTTTTTTTTTTCAAATACTCGAGAGACCAAAGCACCCAAACAAAACAAAAAAAGAATGTTGATTATTTAAAGGAAAGATCTCATATAACCAAGAATGCTTAGAATAAGCAGTGATGAGCAATAAACAATACATCGTATGTATATGGTGGGGGGGGGGGGTTGTGGGGAGGGGTTTGGGGGGGGGGGGGTTAACTCGGAACTTGGCCAATTAATCAGCCGAAGGATGCAAAGCCAGACGGAATCAGACATAACACAATGAAATTAGTCACCTCATCCTTAATTAAATTTGTTAATTTGCCTTGCAAAACTGGTGGAGAGAATGCTGGCCACTGGACGGGATTCCTGGAAGCCAGTCATGACGCAGATGCGGCTCAAATAGGTTATCAACAACACACAAGCACTGGTGACCAAGCAGCATAGCTCACACAGAACATAGACAATGGTTTCCGAAGGGACAGGCAAAAATCTCACTCTTTTTTCTTTTTTATATCCAAGAAGAAAGGTTAGTTGCTGAAGCTCTTACACAGTGGGATAAGCAGCAGAATGAGTTATGAGTTGGATTATCTTCACAGCCCTCCAGACACAAGCATAAGTGCTCAGATTTCCCTTCAACGTATTCGTCAGCTTTGTGCGTTTAGTAGTGGAAGTCCTATGCTGGTTGACAAGACAACGTGCCAGGTTCAAGTTGAGAGCAGGAGTACTACAAGGCAGGGTACTGTCCCGTCTCTGTTGCTGATCCATATCAACCACCTGCCACAAGATCTACCTAGACATTTATCGCCCTCTCTTCGCGCAGAGGATCTAACGATGTGATACAACTCCGATGGAGTGGGTCCTGCTGTCTTCAAACTGCAGGAAAACCAGAAGAGTGTCGTAGTCTGGGCCAGAAAATGGGACTGGAAGTAAATAAGAACTAAACTAGCAACAATCCTCTCGCTGTCCATAAATGAAGAGAAATTGATACTCAGATGTAATAATGATGCAGTTTACGCTTGAATACTCCAACCTTCTTGGGAGTCAAGCTTGACATTCGTGTGACATAAGAACATCAAATGATGACAACAAACAGAAAGGCCAAGAGAAAGAACAGAAAGTGTGATGAAACAAATTGGCAGCCATGACTGGGGGAACTGACAGCAGCATTCTGAGGCAGGTGTTCAGTTGAGTCAAGAATTGACATCACAGCACACGGGACATTCCCATGCGTGCTCTGTCCTCATCTTCAGCAGCTAGCACAGAGTTCCATTACTGATGGTACTGGTCACAATCTGGTTATATGTCCGCCTTGCCTTTCCTCTGAGTGTAGTGAGCCAGCCAGACCCTCTGGATGCACTCAGGTGCCTCATTCTCTGCAGGCGATAATAATCTTCTTTTTCTACTGATCTGATTACATTGCTTGTACCTAAAGAGCCCTGACCACATCTGCCTTGTCAGGCATCAATGCACCACCTAGTGGTGCAAATCAAGGCAAACTGTCCTACTGTTCATTACCCACTACGCCCGCATTCCCTGGGGAAAAGATACAAAATATGCTCACTACCCTTGACCTTCCTAGTGAAGCTTGCCACTCTTTCTAAGCATGCCTTTAGAGTATGTTACAATTACGACATGTGTATGCATCTTGTTCTTTAGCCAACGGAGAGCTGCAGTTACCGCAACAGTCGGCAATGTAAGGATGTATCGGATGCACACAATGGGGGTGTCTCATGTACATCCCAGGATCACCTGCATAGCTTCATTCTGTATGCGCTCCAGTTTCTCTTGCTGACTCTTAGAGACAGTGAGTAACCCCAGTCCATCATCAATCACTGAGATGATAAAGTGCTGTTAAAGAGTGAACAGCATTCTCTGCTCCTTGTCCATCGCTGCCATAATCTTTAGTCCATTAGGACCGTTTTAAGTCTTTGTCACATCCCCCTCTATGTGATCCTTAAAAGACAAAATTCTGTCAGTGGTGATTCCCAGGTACCGCAGACTGTTGTCTCTTATGATGTCCCTGCCACTTATTTTAAGTCTGGGAACATCCGCTCTAAGAATCCTGTTGTCTAAAGAACACCACAGGACGTTTACCTTTTCTGGGTTGATTACATCACTTATCTTTGTACACCAGTCAATCACTTTATCTACAGTCGCCTGTAACTCTTGAGTTATTGAATCCCAATCTCTTCCCTTCCTATATTGGAGAACATAATTTGCAAATGCCAATGTTCTGCCAACTCCATGTGTTTTCAGGTATGCAATCTTGCTCGTGAAAACATTGAACAGCACAGGTTAAATTGCAAATCCCTGTCTAGTCCTGGGACTATAATACATGGTTCAGAGGTCCATTAACCCAGGTTGAGAGCAACGTGGCAAGTATACAAAACGGCTACCCAGTTCACCAACCAAGGACAGACCCCCTTCTCCATAAGCGCTTTAATCACGATACTGGATCCGACTCTGTTGAAAGCATTTTCTAAATCAAGTGCCGCTGCCACCGATTCCTGTCTGATTTGGAAACCTTCAAAAATGTCAAAGGCAAAAATGGCTGCTTTCCCTGGCCGGTAACTTCCCAAAATTCCTGAAAGGAACTTTCACTGTTCCACAAATTCTTGTAGCTTACCCGCCACTATTTTTCCCAACACTTTACCAAAGATGTTGTGTAGGGTTATGATCCTAAAGCCGCTGAGTGTTGAATGATTCTTGCCAGGCTTAGGAAGTGGAATCAGGTAGCTGTGCATCCTCTCTTCTGGGACTGAAGCTGTTCTGATGCTCTGGTTGAAACAAGCAGTCATCTCCACCAGGTCTGCATCACTCATGTCTTTCTTGTTGAAATATCTAGCCCCGTCGGGCCCGGGTGCAGTGTCTTTCCCCAATTTCAGAACACGTTTCACATCTTTTACCTGTACATCCTTCGTTAGACGTTAGACTTCACCTCCTGATCGTTCCTATGTTACATCCTTTGTTAGACGTTAGACTTCACCTTCTGATCGTTCCTATGTTACATCCTTCGTTAGACGTTAGACTTCACCTTCTGATCGTTCCTATGTTACATCCTTCGTTAGACGTTAGACTTCACCTTCTGATCGTTCCTATGTTACATCCTTTGTTAGACGTTAGACTTCACCTTCTGATCGTTCCTATGTTACATCCTTTGTTAGACGTTAGACTTCACCCACTGCTCGTTCCTATGTTAAATCCTTCGTTGGACGTTAGACTTCACCTCCTGATAGTTCCTATGTTACATCCTTTGTTAGACGTTAGACTTCACCTTCTGATCGTTCCTATGTTACATCCTTCGTTAGACGTTAGACTTCACCTTCAGATAGTTTCTATGTTACATCCTTTGTTAGACGTAAGACTTCACCTTCTGCTCGTTCCTATGTTACATCCTTCGTTAGACGTTAGACTTCACCTTCAGATAGTTTCTATGTTACATCCTTTGTTAGACGTTAGACTTCACCTACTGCTCGTTGCTATGTTACATCCTTCGTTAGACGTTAGACTTCACCTCCTGCTCGTTCCTATGTTACATCCTTCGTTAGACGTTAGACTTCACCTCCTGATCGTTCCTATGTTACATCCTTCGTTAGACGTTAGACTTCACCTCCTGATCGTTCCTATGTTACATCCTTTGTTAGACGTTAGACTTCACCTCCTGATCTTTCCTATGTTACATCCTTCGTTAGACGTTAGACTTCACCTCCTGATAGTTCCTATGTTACATTTTTTGTTAGACGCCACATAGAGTTCACACTCGATTACTCCACTACGCTCTATTGCGTGCACCTTTTTCGATTTCTGACATGGAGTTCAGCCCATCATTGTTGCTTCTCGTAATAATATTTCCTTTGAAGGTCCTCTTTTTCTCAGACCGTTTGTTTCCCATTTCAGTTTTGAGATACTTTGCTCTTTTTGTCTCAGAGTGTGACAACATATCTCCACTTTCTTTGTCTTATTGCAGACGATACATGTTTTTGTGCAGACATTTCTAAGATCTCGCTTTTTTAAATGTTCATCCCATTTATTTATTTTAATAATTTTTCTCACACATTCATCTTGAAATGTATGTAGCTTTCATTTCATATCTTGGGTGGTTGACTGACATATGTGAAAAATGAAATAAGTTCAGAATTTAAGATTTGTAGTTTGGTCCTAAAGTTGTATCACTTGGAGGAAATAGGTTCAGAATTTAAGATTTGTAGTTTTGTCTTAAAGTTGTATAACATGGTGGAAATAAGTTCAGAATTCACGATTTTGTAGTTGTGTCTTAAAGCTGTATAACTTGGAGGAAATAAGTTCAGAATTTAAGATTTGTAGTTTTGTCTTAAAGCTGTATAACTTGGAGGAAATAAGTTCAGAATTCACGATTTTGTAGTTTTGTCTTAAAGCTGTATAACTTGGAGGAAATAAGTTCAGAATTCACGATTTTGTAGTTTTGTCTTAAAGCTGTATAACTTGGAGGAAATAAGTTCAGAATTTAAGATTCGTAGTTTGGTCTTAAAGTTGTAAAACTTGGAGCTCTATATTTTGTTAAGGCTTTTAAAGACTGTTGCTTTGCCAGAGCGTATTATTCTTTCCTTTGTTGTATTTCCTTGAGAGTCAAGATTGCTACCCAGATAGGTAAAAGGGTCTATTATTTTTATTGGCTTGTTCTCTAGCATGACATTTACATTATTTGTTGTTGGTAATCTTTGGTATGTTTGTTTGCCCATAGATTATTTGTAGACCTATTTTCTGATGCTGTAGAAATCAAATCGTTTGTTTTTCTTTACATGTCTTTGTTATTTTTACTTAACAGAACACTATCATCTGTGAAATCTAGATCGTCCAGTGTTCTATACCCAGTCAATGCCAGTATTGTCTCTGCAACATTTCTTTCATTGCCCAATCAACGAGGCAGATAGAATGCAGTTTTGTTTAACTTCAGTTTTCAAGAAAAACCAGTCACTCAGACCATTTTTCAGTGCACAGTGCACATTCTGAAATATGGTAATCATTTCTAACAATGTAATGTTGGCTGGTTTTCCTAAATTCCCATAGTGAAATTCTAAATGAGGTGTCAAAGGGCTTATCGAATCAACAACATTTTAGATAAGAGGTTGTTGTATCTCATTGTGTTCTTCTTGAATAAGTCTTGGAGTAATTATTTGATTGAGACAACTTCTTCCAGTTCGAAAACCAGCTTGCTCTTCTCCTATGATTGTATCAACTGATTTTCAATTTAGAGATAATAAGGATAATTGTTCCCCAAATTCTGCAGTGGTTGAGATTACATTTTTTTTTTGCCAAAAAATCTACACCTTTTGTAAGAATAGAAAAAGGTAGCAAACATCCACCTTGGAGAAAAAAAACTGGCAGCCATGACAAAACAGATTCAAGCGCTCCAACCAATTCAACCCTAGCCTGTCTAGTTGTTTTGATTTTTCTAGTCCACCAGCCCTAAATATTCAGGCTCAAAGATCCCCCCGCCCCCTAATGACACCTCATGGAATTGGAACAGGACCTATACGGATGCCTCTTGAGCTCAACAGAAGAAGAAACAACGTCAGTGGGGACAAACAACTGACCGCTTACTGTAGGACCACACTATCTGCATCCCCATGTTCAATCTCCCCCCCCCCCCCCCCCCCCCACTCTCCCTCTTCTTATCATCCCTTGTTGTTAATGTAGTCGTATTCGTTTTATGCTACTTACAGTAACCGTAGAAATTAACAAGTGTGTGTAGCCATAAAATTTTCTGGGTGTGATACTCTCTGCCTCCTTAGGGGTTAGTGTTATTTTTGGATATATTTTCATGAATCGATGTCGGTGGGTAATTAATATCCAGACGTTCCAAATTTATGGCCCTTGCTTTGTGTTGCTTATCTTGCACGTTAGAAGTTAACACGATAATACTAGGGGGCAACGCAATGCTCAACAGTTCTCTGTTGATAAGGTAGGAGTTTACCATAGCGAGTATAAAGGTGAAGATAAAAGGTTAGAGAATCGACTGCATTGTACCGGTTTTTTAAATAATATATGGCTCAATCTCTCTCCGCAAAACGGATAGCTACCTGCCAAGAGCGTCGCACAGTGCACGACCTTCTTAGCTCCGGTGACGATCCCTAAGGATTTTCGTAAGAATTGCACTCGTGAACTAAAAGGCGCCGCTGTGAACTGAGCCCGCGACCTTCAGAGCGCGATTCAAATGCTTGACCACTTGGCCACGGAGACCCCACAAAGCAAAAATTGTGAATTGCTAACTCAAATGCTCTTAGCCGACACACTCAGGTAGGTAGGTAGGTAGGTAGCTGTACCCCACCAGGGCATCACACAAGCGACAAACACCCGGGGACACAAAATGCCACCATAGGGATGTAGATCACCAGTGGAGAGGTCCTAGAAACCCCTCTCAGCCGTTATGGCCTTTTCTATGGCCTAGGCCATTTATAGCCCGACTATATTCAGGGCCCCCGGCAGAAGCCAGAGTGGAGCTATAAATAACACAAAATTGCATTCCACAAAGGGCGACTTGCACGACACACATAAGTCACTACACATATTCTGTACCAAGGATAGTCTGGACCTACTGTCCGATAAAAAAAAATTGTTTTTGCAGTCTGGGTATTTGTTTGTTTGTTTGTTTAATTTGTACTAAATATTCTGTTACTATTTGAAAGTTTGCTCTGTGACCTATTGCAGGTCATGTGACTGCGACTGTCTGCACAACAACATTGTAGTGGAGAGTCTGGTGGTGGTGCTAACTTTGGTCTCGGGACTGGCAATCACGGGAGAGAACCTCATTGTGTTCAACTTAATCACGGGTAAGGGAGATAACATATACAGTTTTAGTTGTTCCGTCGCCCAGTCCCGAAGTTGAGTGCTAGGTGCGACACTGTGAGCTGTGGCTTTTATGTCGATTTATTTTTCTGTTGACCACCATGTCTCAATGCAGAAGGCAGTTTTTTAAAGCCCCCCCCCAGCCTTTGCCTGGGGCCTGAATATAACCTATGATTTGAACGGGGTTTCTGGGACGTGCGCCCATTTGATTCTTATCCGAATAGTGTTATTATTCCTTACGTCCTTCTTATGACGTTATTTTTTGTTATTTGAAGCCCCACTCTGGCTTTTGCCAGGGGCCGCAATATAGGCAGGTCATCATTATGGCCAAATGTCTGAACTCGGTTTCTGGGACCTCTCCACGGTGATCCTCATCCGCATGGTGGCACTTTGTGTCATCGGGTGTTTATCGCTTGTGTGATGTCCTGGTGGGGTAAAAATCCAAGCCAAGTCCATCCGAATAGTGGCTCTTTGTGTTATTAAATCAATTACTTACGTCCTTTTCAGGATGTAATTTTTTCTTATTTGAAGCCCCACTCTGGCTTTTGCCAGGGGCCGCAATATAGGCAGGCCATCAATATGGCCAATTGTCTGAACGCGGTTTATGGGTCCTCTCCACGGCGATCCTCATCTGCATGGTTGCACTTTGTGTCATCGGGTGTTTGTCGCTTGTGTGATGTCCTAGTGGGGTAGAAAGTCAGTCAGTCAGTCTGTGTCATCGAGTGTATATTGCTCGTTGTGGGGTGGAACGTCAGTCAGTCAGTCTTTGTGTCATCGAGTGTATATTGCTCGTTTGGGGTAGAAAGTCAGTCAGTCAGTCTTTGTGTCATCGAGTGTATATTGCTCGTTGTGGGGTGGAACGTCAGTCAGTCAGTCTTTGTGTCATCGAGTGTATATTGCTCGTTGTGGGGTGGAACGTCAGTCAGTCAGTCTTTGTGTCATCGAGTGTATATTGCTCGTTGTGGGGTGGAACGTCAGTCAGTCAGTGGCACTTTGTGTCATCGAGTGCTCGTTGTGGGGTGGAACGTCAGTGCTTTGTGTCATCGAGTGTATATTGCTCGTTGTGGGGTGGAACGTCAGTCAGTCAGTCTTTGTGTCATCGAGTGTATATTGTTCGTTGTGGGGTGGAACGTCAGTCAGTCAGAGCTAGAGACAGAAGATAATGATGCTGACTGATATCATCATCAAAAAGGACTCAAAGAAAAAAAAAGGAAATCGCAAAAAAAAAAAAAAAAAATATGAATACTATATGAAAAACATATATGGTACAAATATCCATTTAACAGCTGTTTAAAAAGAACACATTATTTGTGAAATATTCAGACATTTAAATTGCAGCCATTTTTCAAACTATCGTGTCCCTGCTTGAAAAGGCGGACATCAGTTCGACGGATCGATACACTAATTAATCAGATATGCAACTGTGTAAGCATCTTACAACATCCAGGCTGTAAGATACTGCAGGCTGACGCGCCCTTTAGAACACAGCTCGCGTGTATCGATAAGCTAGTATCAAGCGCCTGTAGTCGGGGCTGAACACCACAAGGGGATTTATTTATAATATAAGAAAGGAAGGTCGATAACTGTCAAACCATATAGCAATTATACGGTTGTTAATATAAGTAGAGCTGTAGTTCTCAACATGTATTATTGTATGTGTATCTGCTGTATGTGTGTGTGTGTGTGTGAGTGTGTATGTAAGTGTGTATGTTTATTACAGTCCGCCCCTCCCCCTTTTTCAGTTGTTTTTTTTTTTAGTTTGAAGATGTTCATAGACGGCAGGGGTTCATATGGATCTGAAAGTGCTCTCTGCCAGGATGTTTTTTGGGCTCATATATGTCTGAAAGTGCTCTCTGTCAGGATGTTACTAGGCTCATATCGATCTAAAAGGGCTCTCTGCCAGCATGTTACTGGGCTCATATGGATCTGAAAGTGCTCTCTGCCAGCATGTTACTGGGCTCATATCGATCTAAAAGGGCTCTCTGCCAGCATGTTACTGGGCTCATATGGATCTGAAAGTGCTCTCTGTCAGGATGTTACTGGGCTCATATGGATCTAAAAGTTCTCTCTGTCAGGATGTTACTAGGCTCATATGGATCTAAAAGTTCTGTCTGCCAGGATGTTACTGGGCTCATATGGATCTGAAAGTTCTGTCTGCCAGGATGTTACTGGGCTCATATGGATCTAAAAGTTCTGTCTGCCAGGATGTTACTAGGCTCATATGGATCTAAAAGTTCTCTCTGCCAGGATGTTACTAGGCTCATATGGATCTAAAAGTTCTGTCTGCCAGGATGTTACTAGGCTCATATGGATCTAAAAGTTCTGTCTGCCAGGATGTTACTAGGCTCATATGGATCTAAAAGTTCTGTCTGCCAGGATGTTACTGGGCTCATATGGATCTGAAAGTTCTGTCTGCCAGGATGTTACTAGGCTCATATGGATCTGAAAGTTCTCTCTGCCAGGATGTTACTGGGCTCATATGAATCTGAAAGTGCTCTCTGCCAGGATGTTACTAGGCTCATATGGATCCGAAAGTTTTCTCTGCCAGGATGTTACTAGGCTCATATGGATCTGAAAGTGCTCTCTGCCAGGATGTTACTGGGCTCATATGGATATGAAAGTGCTCTCTGCCAGGATGTTACTAGGCTCATATGGATCTGAAAGTGCTCTCTGCCAGCATGTTACTGGGCTCATATGGATCTGAAAGTGCTTTTTGCCAGGATGTTACTAGGCTCATATGGATCTGAAAGTGCTCTCTGCCAGCATGTTACTGGGCTCATATGGATCTGAAAGTGCTTTTTGCCAGGATGTTACTAGGCTCATATTGATCTGAAAGTGCTCTCTGCCAGCATGTTACTGGGCTCAAATGGATCTGAAAGTGCTTTCTGTCAGGATGTTACTGGGCTCATATGAATAGGAAAGAATGACACTAAACTGCCTGGTCGGCCGCCATTGTGTAGTAAGGGAAACAATCAGTGGCAAAACAGTACTGTACTATACATGTCATAAGCGGCACCGAATGGGAGTTGAAAGGAAACTGATGCCCCATCCAGTTTACATCTATGTGTTAAAAACCAACAGTTGTGAAAAAACGCTGTCGCTCGGTTACATGAGCCTATAGGCTGGAGTCGGAGATGCAAGGCAAAAAATGGAGCACACAATAAAATTAGAAGAGAAGGAGGGGATTATAGTTGGAGGATGAGAAGGAGGAGGATAACAATTACAAGAACAAGAAGATAAGGTAAAAAAAAAAATGATAACAAAATAATAAAGTTGGAAGGCTAATGACGTAGAGCCTGATACGCTAGCTTACAAAGATGGTGATCGCTGATTATTTTACAAATATGTAACAGCTTATAATACAGATCAGTATATAAATGGGCGCCAGACGATGTAAAATAATATTAATACAGAAATAGTTTCAGAGTAGAGTCAATGGTTGAAGGAACTGACACCATATCCTTAGGACAATGAACATATCAAATCCAACACTAGGCTTACATACTGAGTATACCAGCAGAAGCAAGTCGTTTGTCGCAATGTGATGACTGAATCTGCAACCATGATCAGACTGCACAAACAACAAATAAAAAGGGGTGAGGGACAGACAATTCACAATGCGGAAGATCAAAGAAGAAGCATTAAGAACAAAAACAAAAACACGCATACATTCATCTTGTATCGTCCGCTGCTACACATTAGAAGATATGCGCTTTTAGACTGCATGATTCAATATGTAGTTTGGATTATCTGTCGACCAACTAGCTAGACCTATTCATACCTCTATGGTATAATTTGGTATGCAGCTATGTTTCCCTATGTAAAACCTTATATGTTCTTAATACTTTTATAAAGTACATCAACTCATTATATTTACAATAGGCTTTTGCTTTAACACATTGAATTAATCCATAGTTTTGTTGTTCACGTCATATTGTCTCACTGAAGTGTCAAGGACTGTAAAAATGTGTCATCACTCAGGGTCAGTTCATGGAGTGTCTTGTGTTCCTTCAGAGACTTTAGACTCTTACTTTCCCTGCACGTCTCATCTGCTGCTGGCATCTGTCATCATCAGCACGGCTGTCATCCCACACATGTCATGGCATCACCAGTCTCTATGAGATCATGGATGTGATTTATCATGTCTGGACTGACCATTAAAGGTCCTGCCGGTGTCATTGCCATCTTATTGCAGGACCCTAGCAGATCACAGTATCTATCATGGCCCATGAGAATGTTTCTCTATTCCTTAAAGTTCATCATCATCATCATCATCATCATTATCCTGCTTTGCTATTATGAGTTACATAGGACAGTGTATACCTCTTTTCTGAGCCATCCTGCGCAATCCTTTAGATATCTTGAATGGAATCATCCAGTACCTTTGATCTTTCATTAACGGTCGTCTTAGTGTCCATCTTGGCGTCCTAGCCATTTGATCACTCTGTTTTCCATTTAAGTGCCTGTCTCATGATGATTTGTTCGCTTCTTCTAATGATGTGTCTATTATAGCGCCATCTTCTTTGCCTTATAACTGTTGCTACTAGGGCTGTACCGAATAGTGATTTTCACTATTCGGCCGAATACGAATAGCTGTACCAACTATTCGGCCGAATACGAATACGAATAGTGAATCATCATCATTATGTGCTTTGCCGGCTGGCATGGGCGATTATGCCTCGCCACAATCTGCGATCTCCTGCAGCACGTATTAGTTCGTGTGCTGACACACCTCCATGAAAAACCTTCGTTCCATGTTGTCAGCATTAGGCCAGCTTTTTGTCTCACTGAAGGTATTTCCAGCTGTACTAAACAGGAAAATACGACAAATACAGAGAGTCAAAATGAAAACCCGCAAGGCGAAACATCAAAAACAAAAATAACGCCGACGAAGAAAACAATGCCGTCCTTACAAGTCGCCCAGCCCCCCGCGAGCTCACGAAACCAGACGCCGGGCGGCCAAAGCCAGCAAAGACAATCAAGAAACCGAACGTCGATCAAAACATTCAGCCGCTGCCGTTTCCACGAGACGACGAAAGAACAGATACGACACCCATAAATGATGACGAACTCCCGTTACTTCAAAGAATCAACGAAGAGGACACTCCACTCAAAGAAATCAAGCCGACAACACTAGAACACTTGCTTTTCTGCCCCTCTTACATTTTTAAGTGTTGCATTTTGTTTCTACAGCAACACACCTAAAAACACTATACTCGCAACACATGCAAGATGGAAATAAAGGGGCACTTGGTACGCTCGTAGGTGGTGCATAAAGATAACGCTTTACAGTATAAACCAAGGTGGGAAGTCTTGATGTTTTTTTTTCCACCAGTCCAGAAACGGTTGTGAGGTAACCACTATTCGTATTCGGCCCGACCGCAACTATTCGGCCGAATACCGAATAGTTATTGGGTCCACTATTCGGCCCCGAAGCGAATACGAAGCGAATATTCGGTACAGCCCTAGTTGCTACCACCGGTTGTCCGGACATTTCTCTTATTTCTTTGGCAAGCATCCACTTTAGTCATGGACAAGATGCCTCTAACACCCGATGTCCACTTTTGTCATGGACAAGATGCCTCTAACACCCGATTTCCACTTTAGTCATGGACAAGATGCCTCTAACACCCGATGTCCACTTTAGTCATGGACAAGATGCCTCTAACACCTGATGTCCACTTTAGTCATGGACAAGATGCCTCTAACACCCGATGTCCACTTTTGTCATGGCCAAGATGCCTCTAACACCCGATGTCCTCTTTTGTCATGGCCAAGATGCCTGTAACACCCGATGTCCACTTTTGTCATGGCCAAGATGCCTCTAACACCCGATGTCCACTTTTGTCATAGCCAAGATGCCTCTAACACCCGATGTCCACTTTTGTCATGGCCAAGATGCCTCTAACACCCGATGTCCACTTTTGTCATGGCCAAGATGCCTCTAACACCCGATGTCCACTTTTGTCATGGCCAAGATGCCTCTAACACCCGATGTCCACTTTAGTGTTTATTGATACATTTTTACATTGAGACATCAAAATTCAATAGTTTTACATAATTCTTATAATTCTTCTATATTTGTTGTAACATTTTGTATAGAATATATATCAAAATTCATATTTACTTACATGTGGCTGCTACTTTAATGAACCGTGTTTGTGTCATCAGTATGGTACGTGTTTGGGTCATCCGTATTTGTGTTTGGGTCAGCAGTGTTTGAATCATCCATATTTGTATATGTGACGCATCCACAGTGCCACAACACACAAGAAGTGTCACGAACATCACCGGCACCAACAACACGGCAGAAGGCAGGGAAGTAGAGATTATTACGGAGAACAATCAGGCTAGGAGCATCCTGAACAAGGTCTTCCACTACGTCAGCTTGGGCATTGCTGGTCTCTTCTTTATTGAGGTTTGCATTTCTTTTAATGAGAGCTAAATGTATAAAATGTTGTTAGCTTTAAGTCTGTCCGATTATCCTCATCTCATCCCGCCTTTATCCCTTTGTACCTGGCCGTGTCAAGGCAAAGTGTAATTTACAGGTGAGAACCCGTATGTGTGCTTCGTAAATGGGGATTCCCAGGGACTCTGTAATTCCCTCTGTCCATAGCTTGAATGGCTGGCCTCTTCTTCGCCTCTCACCTGGTCTGAACTTCACTGCTTGCTGTGTTACACTGTCTGCTGACATCTGTGTTATATGGACAGACCATTTCACCGGTTGTCTTCTAATGAAATCCGGAGCTGCTGCCACTCTCTTTACTGGCATTGGTGGCACAGGATTGGCAAGAAGATTGTGTCAGAGAGGGCTCTTTTGGTTTCTATTGATGTGTGTGAATTTTTTTCTTCTTAGTATTGGTACCATTTGACCAGTGAGTTGGTTTGCTTTGTTACATCTGTCATCAGTCTTCCGTTTTGCCAACGAATGATAGTATGCTTCCTAAGTATATAAAGTTATTAGATTATTTCAGAGGTGTCCTGTAAGCTGCATATTTTTGTTGTTGTTGTCTACTTTCTATTATAATGTCCTCTGTTATGTTGCCGTTAATTTTTATATTATGCTTTTAAAAGTTATTTATGTTATTCATAAAAAGTTAAATAAAAGCATTTATGTCTGGACATAAATCAAGTATTCGGTTAGCATGCTTAAGAAGATCCGAACTTCAAACACCAACTGGACTGAGGTGACGGCAACAAAAAGTCCTTCCTCGAGAAATTATCGTAGATGTACATACCGGGTCACATGCTGAGCCTGAAGACTGACCGGTCTGCAGAGGTTGGTGGATGAAGAAGTACAGGCAGGGCAGACATACTGAAATCGCTGTGTTCCAGCGACTTTGAAACAAAGGAGTTCGCGATGATAAACAGAGTACAAACCTGCAGAACCGTTTAAGACGGGAAATAACACATGCCAGTCAGCTTCTACTGGGTACGTTCAGCATGGGGACATTGAGATGTTTACTGCACTGGCGGACGGAACATGAGTGGTTCGGGCCGATGTGCTGGGATGTATTTAGTGGTGTAACAAGTGAGGAAGACAGAGCAAGTGGAGTGTCGTAATTCACACAACCCTCAATATGTTGATGATATAGTTTTAATGGCTGATATCCTGTGGGAATCTACCAACCTCCATCCACTAAATGTTTTCTGCCTATCTCAACATTTCTACCGTAATTAACCATAAATGATATCTTGTGGGAATCTACCAACGTCCATCCACTAAATGTTTTCTGCCTATCTCAATATCCCACCCGTAATTAACCATAAATGATATCCTGTGGGAATCTACCAACGTCCATTTACTACATGTCTCTTTGTGTATGAACATCTCACTGACTGACTGACTTTCTACCCCACCAGGACATCACACAAGCGATAAACACCCGATGACACAAAGTGCCACCATGCGGATGAGGATCGCCGTGGAGAGGTCCCAGAAACCGCGTTCAGACATTTGGCCATATGTATGGCCTGCCTATATTGCGGCCCCTGGCAAAAGCCAGAGTAGGGCTTCAAATGACAAAAAATTTCGTCCTAAAACGGACGTATATTATAGAAACATCTCACACGTAATTAACCATAAATGATACCCTCTGGGAATCTACCAACGTGCATCCACTAAATGTTTCCTGCGTACAGAACATCCCACCCATAATTAACCATAAATGATATCCTGTGGGAATCTACCAACATCCATCCACTAAATGTTTTCTGCCTATCTCAACATCCCAAAAAACATGTGATAACTTATTTTTCCTGCAGCTCAGTGTGTCTGATCTTGTCTTGCAGAAAAACACACAATGATTCCCCTTGCCTAAGTGTTTAACCATTCGCTTCTCTCCCTGTAGATTCAGTTTAGTTACTGCGTCTTTTGGTTTGCTTGTGCCATTTTTATGTAAGTTCTTTTGACACTGCTGGGGCTAAGAAGTTCTTGCGGTTTGCGAGAGACGCTCTTGAGAAGCGACCTAACGTTCTGTTGAGAGAGATTGGGTCATTTTGGGGATAAAACTCTGTGAAAACAAATGGATTTTATTATCTTTCAACCATTAACTTTAAGCATCAAAAAAAAAAAAAAAAAAAAAAAAGATATACTGGTAAATTAAAAAACAAATGTTATTCAGAATGCCGAGATTCAGGTAAGTGACATTAATCTGTATGTGTACATAAATATATATACATACTATTTGTTTTGCAGATTGTCCTAAAAGTGTGCTCTCTACAGAAGAGATTTATCATCAACCCCTGGCAGGTGAGTAGATTTACTTGCCTGTTGTAGGTTTAGTTACCGGAACATCGCTGTAGTTTGTGGTGTTGTGCTGCAACAAGCAATCTCAGCTGATATTTGGTTAATTTGCGTTATGCAGACGATACAGTTTTGATAGATGAAAATGCAACTGATTTACAAAAACTGCTGGATATTGTGGGGATGGAGAGTGCTAACAAAGGACTTTCATTGAATTGAAAGAACACGAAAGCAGTGGTTATATCAAAGGAGTAGATAATTCCACGTTACGATATCTCAATTGAAGGAAAACTACCTAACCAAGTCAATAAATTTAAATATCTGATAACAATCATATCATCAGTTGGAAAATGTGCGACAGAGATTAAAAGCAATATGGGTAAAGCGAAAGCTGCATTTCACAAAATGAAAAATATCTTATGCAATTAATCGCTCTCATTTAATGTCAAAAAGAGGGTGCTAAAATGCTACATAAAACCTGTTCTGCCTAACGGCAGCGAATCTTGCAATGTCACTGAACAAATTAAGAAGAATTTGGAAGCAATAGAGATGTGGTTTCTGAGACAAATGTTACGAATACCTTGGACGGCCAGAGTAACTAACAACGATTTCTTGAAAGAGGCTAATAAAAGTAGATCTCTTTATACAACAATAAAAGAGAAAAAAAACATTGTTCTTTGGCCACATAATGAGAAAAGAGACATTAGAGAACATAGTGACAACTGAAAGGATCAGTGGAAAAAAGGGTAGAGGCAGACCAAGAGGGATGATGTTGGATGGGCTGAAAGGATGGCATAGAGGGATATCATCAAGAGAGCTGTTCCGGGCAATCAGGGATCGTGACCTGTGGAGACGCATGAGCGCCTACACTGGTTGGCAGGGCACATGATGATGATGTACTTCCTAACCCTGTTGGTAAAAGTCGATAGTGTCCTAAGTAGGTCTATCATTCAGAGTTACAGTTGAACGTATATATGTAACCCTCCCCCTCCCTTCTCTCTCTCCCTCTCCCTCCCTTCTCTCTCCCCCTTCCCCTTCCCCTCCCTTCTCTATCTCCCTCTCCCTCCCTTCTCTCTCCCCCTTCCCCCCCCCTTCTTCTCTCTCCCTCTCCCTCCCTTCTCTCTCTCCCTCTCCCTCACTTCTCTCTCTCCCTCTCTCTCCCTTCTCTCTACCCCTCCCTTCTCTCTCTCTGCCTCCCTTCTTTCTCTCCCTCCCCCTCCCTTCTCTCTCCCTCCCCCTCCCTTCTCTCTCCCTCCCCCTCCCTTATCTCTCTCCCTCCCCCTTTCTCTATCTATGTGTGCATGTGCATGTGTGTGTGTGTGTATGTTTGCGTGGGGAGGGGGGGGGGGCTGCTGAATAGGCAACAAACGAAGCAGTCGTTTAAGACTAATAACAATCTTAAAATAATTAGGGAAATAAAACAGACAGTCGAGCTATGTTGAGCACGTTGTGAGGTGGAATAATCTTGACATCAGTAAAAGCTAGCAACACGAATGGGAGAAGAGTACGGAGAGGACAAAGAGTCAAATACTGAAGGCACTTACACTTATTTAATAAGCGGGACAAGATAAACTAATGCAAGATTCTGGTGATGATGTTAGATGACCAACCTTGAATATTGCCAAAGGTCAACAAAAGAGACATGGTAGTTTTACTGTTGCGAAAAGTCAACAGTAGAGGCATAGTAAGTATAATGTTACCAAAAGTCAACAATAGAGGCATGTTTGGTTTGCGGTTACCTAAAGTCAATAAGAGAGGCATGTTGGGTTTACTGTTGCTAAAAGTCAACACCAGAGCCCTGGTTGTTTTAATCAATAGAGAAAGTCTGTCCTCATCATCATCTGGGGTAGGAGCCTGTCCTACTACTAGGCGCGTCCACCAGGTGGCGGATGGTGGAAAGGCCTCTAGATATAGAGGTTAGCCACGAATATATTGAATAAGTGGCCGTGGACCAAAACAGGTGATGGTCATTGAGAGGAGGCGAGTTAGTTGGTGGGACAGCTAACTTTATAAAATACCTTAAAACTCTATGACATGGCCATCGACGGGTAAGAGGTGCCATAACCCTCCCCCCCCCCCCCCAATCCCCCCCCCCCCCACCCCCACCGCTGCCTTGCATGATAAGTATCTTTAGAAAAAGGCTATTGGAGTCAAACCAAATACAAACCGGCGGAAGGCAATGGGAAACCACCGCTGTATTATCCTTAGAAAATCATGCGTCTTAGTTAGTTAGTTAGTGGCGTATTCTTTACAGGACGTTGCAGAACCAACCTCAACAGCACCTGGCTGTTGTGTGGTTTTTCTAGGCAAATTTACGACCAGTAGTTTGTCATTGCTGTCTGGATTGTCGGCTTTCTTGAAACCACTGTCGAAACCAACGCAAGGCGCATGGCCTGCAGCTGGGATCGAACCCGGCATCTCAGCATTACGAAGCGTTCGCATCGACTTAGCCACAGAGCCGACCATGTCTGGCTTACTGAGGCTAAATGTCAAGAAAAGAAACCTGGTAGTTTTACTGTTGCCGAAGGTCAACAATAGAGTTACGGTGATTGTTCTGGAAACTTCTGGATTAAATCTTTGAGTAACAGTGTTAATTGTTATTTTGGATAAAAACTGTTGTCTGTTTATAAATATTCTGCAAACAAATATGTAGCGTAATATTTTCTTGGTTTCAGATTTTCGATACTCTAGTAGTGATTGCCAGTCTGACCCTGGAGCTGACCTTTCATTTCGTCTATCTGGGACACAGGGGCCTCTACTCACTGACCTACGTCGTCTTATTTCGACTCTGGAGAATACCAATGTTGTGCAATAGTAAGATGTTTATCAAAAGATGAATACGTATAGATTTTGTGTCTACCTTCATGTGTGTTTACACTTTGTATCAACAGTCATTTACATATATATTTTTTAAAATCTGAACTGACGTATATATGTGTTTGTGAATATATGTATACATACACATATATATATGTGTGTGTGTGTGTGTGTATGTGTGTTTGTGTATGTGTGCGCCGGCGTCTGAGGCTTAGGCTTAATTCTACATACACGTTACTGTTGGCACCTTTCTGTCTTCCCAGACATTAGTGTTATATTGTGTTAACTGATCATTAATTCTACATACACGTTACTGTTGGCACCTTTGCGTCTTCCCGTACATTAGTGTTATATTGTGCTCCCTGAACATTATTTCTACATACACGTTACTGTTGGCACCTTTCCTTGTCCCAAACATTAGTGTTATATTGTGTTAACTGAACATTAATTCTACATACACGTTACTGTTGGCACCTTTCCTTGTCCCAAACATTGGTGTTATCATGTGCCAAAGAGAGGCATGGGAATCACCGTCCATGGTAAAAGCGACCAGAACTAGCAAGACCCTCTCGCGTGCTGGAGAATCTTCCACAATGAAAGTACTAGATTTCAGGCCCGTTGCAATGTTCTGTTTTAATGTACTTCTTCCCAGACGCTCAATTATTATTTTATTCATTCAGTCTCCCTAATCCCTACTCCCTTTCCGATTCCCCCCCCCCCTCCACACCCTCCCCTCGCCAATCCCTTTATCCCGTGGCACCCAGTTCCCATAAACTTGCATGCAGCCGTATAACCATCTGTGTTTGCGAAGAACAACACAGAATTATGACTGCAATGAAAAACCTTAATTACCTATTAGTATTCTTGTCGTTTAGTTCGAGCTGTTTGCAGCTATGGAGGCCAGCGAATATGACCTGGAACTCTACCGAAACGGCAGAATCAAGGCAGAGGACAGATGTAGAATGTTGGAGACGACATTGACGCAGCGAAATGTATGTATTGCTTGTTCATGTTTGAATGTTGAATTTTGAATTAAGAATCGACATCACAGCACTCGGGACACTTCCATAAGAGGTGAGTCTCTATCATCAGCAGCAAGAGAAAAGTTGCAATTCCGATGGTACCAGTAACCGTTTGATTGCATTTCCTCCTGATCCCTCCCATTAGTGTTGAGCGTCAGCTAGATTCCCTGGGAACTCCCCACAGCTTCATTCTCCTTAGAATGTAATAATCTATCTTCGCCTCTGTACTGTTCACTCGCCCCCAAAGGGCCCTCACAACATCTAACTTGTCATACATCAGTTCACCATTAAGTGGTACAGAGCCAGCCAGTCTATCTGACTGCTCATTTCCCAACACAGTGATATGACTTGGATAAAATATGCAAAGGATGCTAACTACCTGCGACCTCTGAAGCGATGTTTGCCACTCTGCACGAAACATACCTGTTTTCACCTTTTTTCAACTTGATCTGTGAGTCAGTTACAATCACGGCAAGTGAATACAGCTGATTCTCAAGACAGCGGAAGGCAGCAGAGACTGCCTCCACCTCCATTCTCAAACTAGACGTTGTGAAATCATAAGCAAGGCTTTGCTGCACTAGTCTACGTCCATTCGCCTTTGCCGTGAATCCCCATGCACTTCGCCTGCCCCTCAACACAGAGCAATCTGCATAGATAGTCACATAACTTCGGCGAAAATTGTCATGAATTATTTGTTAAACTTCTGATTCTGCAGCACCAGCTGACCTGTATCTGCACTCACGACCTAACGGGATTAGAACCCTACACAAGTCTGAAACTTGTTCGGACACCTTGACCCACTCCTCTCCTCGCTCAAAATTATCAAGCCCGCATACATGTCTGATTGTGTCTTCAGATTGCGCCATCCAAGACATTCCTCTTTTCAGTCTGTGACCCTTAGCTCTAGCCAGGGTTTCATGCAGGAGGTGCTTCTTGTCTGCAGCTACTCCGAGATATGACTTTGCCTTTAGAACATTGAGCCTATCTGCAATAGTAGGCTGTGCAAGTATATATCGTATACATACCAACAGGGTCTCTCTTGTACATCCTAGAATTACCCGCATGGCTTCATTCTGTATGCGTTCCAGTTTCGTCAGCTGACTGTTATTTTAAGCATTCTAAGTCCATAATCTGTCACCGATACGATCCAACGCTGGAACATTGGGAACAACATTCTTTGTTTCATGTTCATTGCTGCCATTATCTTGAGAGCATTGAGTCCTTTTTTGGCTTTTCACCACAACTGCCTCCAAGTGATCCCTTTAGGACAGGCTTCTATCGAAATTTATACCTAGGTATCTCAGTTTGTTTTCTCTTTTGATGTTACTGTTATGAACTGTGAGGCTTGAACTATCAGCTCTTACAATTCTACTGTCCAGAGAGCACCAAGAAAAAAGCCGCCTTGTCTGAGTTGATGACAGCCCTCATTTGTGCACACCAGTCAGCCACTTTGTCTACAGTTGCCTGCAGTTCTTGGGCTATCCGTTGTCTATTATCCCCCTATCATTCCCGCCTTTCTCGTGGCTGTAACTGTACTTTTCTATGATTCTGTGCCACTTGGGGATGTCAGTGATGATATGGTAAACATAACAATCTGTTGTCACCTTGTGGGACGCAATGTTTCGTTATTTTGAAGCCTCAGCCAAGCTGTTGCTGGGGCCGTAATATAACCTAACGGTTGAACGCTGTTTCCGGAACCTCTCATCGGGTGATCCTCATTCTCATGGTGGCACTTTGTGTCACCAGGTGTTTATCGCTCTGTGTTATGACCTGTTGGGGTTAAATTTACTTACTAGGACATGGTTAAGGCCCTTTGGGTGTGAGTGGACAGTGAAGAACAGAGAGTAGATTATCACGACTTGAAAACATCGGGGAATGACCTGGTGATGTGGTCGTCACTCAGCTCTCAGAGGAAAGGCAATACGGATATACAAACTAACTTCTGGTACCACTGAAGCTGGAAAGCTGTCCTGGCTGCTACGAATAGAGACGGGGCATGTTGAATCTTGAATAAGGAATCGATATCATAGCACTCGGGACACTCCCATACGCGGCCTGTTCCCATCTTCAGCAGCAAGCGAAGAGTTCCAGTTCTGATCCTACCAGTAATTGTCTCATTGTACATCAGTCTCACCTTTCCCTCGAGTATTGATTGTTGGCCAAATCCCCTGGTAATTTCCCGTAGAGAAAGGGGACTTATGGGAACGTCCCAAGTGTTCCTAATTCTGCTCAGCTTTGCTTACTTTGTCTATGTAATTTGATTTTTATTTTGCGCGACCAAGCTTCAAAATTTATCATAACAATTTTTGTTTTGAATTTTGATGCTTTTCAAATGCCTTAGTTCATGACATTTTTGTGGCTTCATTTGGCACAGAAACTGAGCGGTTATGGTACGATCCGTCTGCAGTGATACTGCAACCTTGTCTAACTCCTACGTAATTTATAGTATTCAATAGTATCTACACGTTTTCAGATAATATAGTTTGTGACCGACCTCAACGCAGCTTCAATCCTAACTTGAACTGCATCGTACTATAGACTTTGTTGTTAACAGTGCTGAAGAAAAATTGCCTGTATTCTCATAGTAATTGATTAAATAGATGTTATAATATTTGCAAATGTGTTATATTTTCACAATAGTTGTGTGAACATCTGTTGCAGGAGACTATTAGAAAGCTAGAGAAGATGTTGCGCGATTTAACAGGGGCTAAACAATTAGGTAAGCTTGTTTTCTCAGCTTATGTAATTGCATGTCTGATTGAGTATTTGGCTGTTTCTGTTTCCTTGCTTGAATGTCAGTAGAGCATTTAATGTTTCTAAAGTCCAAGAGTTTGTCGTATCTACACGTCTATTTTATGTCAGTTGTGTGATTTATCTACGCGTCTAGTCTTTCGGTAAATCGTGTCATTTGTGTACACTGAACACGTTATGTGCAAAGTGTACTGTTGTGTATACGTGGCTACTGAAAGGTGTAGGAACAAATTGGGAACAGCTCTGATTGAGAGCAGTTGTGCTTTCTGAATTGAATATTACGAAAAGTTTTGACAGCAAATGTAACTACGGTAACCAACTAAAGTTGTACATTGCACTCAGCTATACAGACAAGGAGACAATCCTTTTGATGCAATGAGAAAAGAGGCATTGTAATGTATTGGGCTACTGCAAGTGTCAGCTATCGAAGAGGTAATGGTGTATTAGGAAATGAACAAGCAAAAGGCTGGCTGGTTCTAACAACTTGGTGATGAATTGATGCGGGGCAGCTTAGATGTTGTAAGGGCCCCTTGGGAGAGGATACTTCAATATTTTCTCCTTCAGATGTGGAAATATACAACATAACTGAAATAAAACAATACACGGGGAAGAAGGAAGAAAGGAGTAGGAAGGACAGTCTTTCAGAGTGTAATATTAAAGAAACGTATTTGTAGATCTCATTTAACTAACCGCTATTGTACAAACAATATTTGAATGATTGATCTGTTGCATTTTGATTGACTGACGCAGTCTTGACTCATGTACCATCCACTTTGTTGGGTTCTATTCAAATTTCTGGTATTTCAGATCTGACCAAAAGTGAAGGTACCGCCAAGAACAATGGTCACCTGCCTCACAAGACATACACAACTGAGGATGAGCTGCATGTCCAGATGCCATCGCTAGAGTCCAAGGACAGGCAAGCCTACTCTGTCGTGACCCGAGGTTCCCATAGATACACATTTCCCGGTGATTTTGAAACAGAGTTCATGAGCACGTATGACATAGAGAGTTCATCAGGACTCGACAACCCAGACAGCATAGAAATGAAAACAGCTCTACTTTATAAACAAATTTCAAAGAAAAGTCAAATTTTGCCTAAAGACAAAGGAGATGATGCTAATAATTCCTCTAATTCAGAATCATCTGCTATCACTAGTCCTCACAATGTTGACAATAAGTCAACAACTGAGGTTGTGACAAACAGTGTTTTGTCTGCAGAAAACATATCTACTTGCCTAGCACGAAGAAGTCGAGTTTTTCTGAGGTCAAGAAAAAGACGCTCTTCAGCCAGCGAAATACTCGATTACATAAATCTGTCTTCGCCCAGTCTGGATTCGATGTTTGGCGATAGCACACAGAATCCAACCTCAGTTCCCAATTCTGACATTGAGAAAGATAATCTTAAATCTGGTTTGGTTAAAGATAAATTAATCACTAAAGACGTTCATGAAAGTGTGTGCACAGACACTGAAAGCAAAGCTAACAATAAAGCAGGTACTGGAGACACCAGTGCTATAAGTCCACAGGAACACAAGACTAGACAGATAAAGAGGCGAACTCGTAGATTTGCTTCATGCCCAGAATACGTCTTCACTCAGAGAATGAACATCACAAATGATGAATCGATGCTCATTGGAGGTAAAACGTGCAGTTTGTCGTGAGAAAATTAAATGTATTAATGTGTCTTAACAGTTGCTAAACCGTTTTTTCATGAAGAAGATAACCTATAACCTTAGACGTCTGCAACCAGCTCCCATCCTGATACAAGCCTTGGGTCTGGTTGTGCAAAACAGGATTAGGTTGTCAATCTGGAAGTGATCGAGTAGAATAGACAAGGAGCAGAGGCCTCAAAATCTATGGACTTGGAAACCTAACCTCCCCCCCCCCCCCCCCCCCCCCCCCGCCACACACACACACATACACACCCACCAGTTTTTAAAAGGAAGACCGAGCCCCAACCCCGAAGTTACAAGGGCCCTAAGTGGTGTCCCTAACCATGTTTGGGCGTTCTCTTTCAAAGTATTTTTGTTTACATTTTAATTCATTTCTAATTTTTTCTTTTATTTATTTACCATTCAGCACATGACAACAATCAATCTCATAATTATCTGAGATGCAAGGAGCCAACAAAATGCATGCAACAAAAAAAGCCAGATGTGTAAAACGGACATGCCCACACAAAACTCACGCTATGGATCAAGACCACAGTTGAGGAGCAGAGGAGCTGTCAGAACCATCCACTGGGGTTTACAACCGGGCAACGCTAAGAAAAAGAGTAGAAGATAATAATTATTATTGCACACTAATACAATGCTAAAGACCCTGCAACTCTGCAGGCTAAACCCTAGAAAATTAATCCGCCCCTTCCACCACCACCCTCCCCAATTTCTGCGGCGCACATGCGACAGAGCATATTGGGAACATACTTCAGAGCAACATGTCAGCGGTACTGATGGATTGTCACTTATCTGTGTCCTTGTTCAGGTTTGCAAATGAAGGACAACTGACAAGTCCGCTCAATCATCACTACACCAGTAATATCCCTTTGACAGGGTGATCGATAGTCCTAGGTTGTGTCATCATGAGGAAGGCATAAATCGTAACAGCTGTTGGCATTTTTTTTATAAATATATAAATAGGAAAAGCAGAAAAGGGTAAAGAGAACATATGCTAGACAAGCTTGCATCATGGTAAAAAAAAATCATTTCAGTTTATCATCCTCATGTAGCTGGTTCTTTGCAGAACGTCGCCCTGGTCATGATCTGCCTGAAAGAAGATCGGTCCATCGCCAGCTCTCCCATCTTATGCACTTTCTTACCCAATGTGTCACTTGTATTCAGTGTCTATCTTTATGCTGGTTGGCCCCTGTCCCTCTTTCCTGGTACCAGCATAATCGTTATGAACACAAAGAACTGGCAGTATGTTCTTTCTTTTCTTTGTGTCTGTGCCTTCTGCAATTATTCTTTCCAATCCGCAGTGGCACTTGATGCGGCCAAAATATTTCACTTTCCGAAATAAGACGTTTTTTTTTTTTTTAAATTGTTCTTACCACTCTTCCCTGATGTTTAGATCTTTTGGGCTGTCGGTGTTTCTTTTCTTCTTGGTTCATGGTATTTAGAGAATCTTTTCAGATCAAAAGCGTGAATTTTCTTCCTTGATGACTGAGGATTTCAGATGCTGAAAACGATGGCATTGATGATGATGACGTTGAGGATGATGATCATGACTTGGTGGTGGTGGTGATGGTGGTGGTGGTGATGGTGGTGGTGGTGGTGGTAGTAGTGGTGGTGGTGGTGGTGGTGGTGGTGGTGGTGGTGGTGGTGGTGGTGGTGGTGGTGGTGGTGGTGGTGGTGATGGTGGTGATGGTGGTGATGGTAGTGGTGGTGGTGATGACGATATGAGGTGACTCAGAGTTAGGCATGCGTCTGTGTTTCCTTGACGAAATACATGAGCACATTGTGGGAATGGACTGATGTAATAGATTCGGGTTATTAATTATTTAAACTACATTAAATATTCTCACCATACATAGTATCTCTCTCTCTCTCTCTCTCTCTCTCTCTCTCTCTCTCTCTCTCTCTCTCTCTCTCTCTCTCTCTCTCTCTCTTCTGTCTGTATTTCCCCTTTTGTCTTCTTCGCCCCTACTTCTTTTCTCTTACTTCTCTTCCTGTATGTCTAAATACAGTCTCTCTTTGTCTGTTTCTCACTCTTAATCTGTATCCCTCCTTCATCATCCATTTCGGTCTCTCTCTCTCTCTCTCTCTCTCTCTCTCTTTCTCTCTCTCTCTCTCTCTCTCTCTCTCTCTCTCTCTCTCTCTCTTTCTCTTCTTCCTTGATCTCCCTCCTCCCCCATCATCCATTTATGTCTCTCTACTATTTTTTCAAAACCCTCTATCTCAAACCCGACTATGTAGTGAAATGTTTGCTCTACAACAATTTGCAGATGGGCACCCAGCAGACCAACATTTTGGATACAACAATTTAGCTTTTAACGGCGACGACAACTTGTACTTCCCGGTGATCTCAGAATATGGTGGATCAACAACTTACAGGAACGAGGTGAGAGTGTGTGCAAACAACAGTGCCTGTTTCTTTTGCGTTTAGTTAAAATTGGGCAATAAAAACAATTAATGAAGATGTAACTAATTTACTTACTTTCCCAGGTAAATTTTGCTGTATGCCCTGGGTTTGGTACCTGGCTAAGTACCCCATTGTAGCCTTAGAAGCTAAAAGAGAAGATATAACAACTTCTCATGGGAACAGTGAGTCCATTCTCAGGCGGTTGTCTGCGATCTGCCTTGTAGGTCCGCCATGAGATTTCCTAATCTTATGATACCATGGTAAACCGTTCGGTAGCAACTCGAAGGGGACAACCGTATTGATCGATCGAACGGTGAGTAGAGGCACTCTGTGGTGACTGCTGCATCGGAAAATTGAGCTAGGTAAATGTTCCTTGCACAGGGATGCCGACTGTGATATTATAATGTAAAAGGAAAGATTGTAGTGACAAGTGAAGATCAATTATCGTTGGACAAGAGAATAACATATCTTAAAGTTCTAGAACATTTCTGAAAAAAAAAAAAAAACTGAGTTGTAAAGGTGTATTTTTTCGCTCCCGTATACGTCAGCTAAGTGACTTGGGTATTTTTGTTCATATTTGTGGTATTGTAGATTTATGCGGTTAGCTGATGAAGGCTTTCTAACCGCAACGTTCACTTGTCTGCGTTTTTAATAGTATGAGACTTGCAGGTTCTACTTTTCGTTTATTTTCGCATAGTTTCGTGAGTCAGATTAGAAATATCAGAGACAATTAAATGTGTACGTAGCGATCAGAAGGGCCCGTTCCAGAAATCTCTTAGTGCCCTGACACCGCAAGGTATTACAGGAGTAGAGGAAAGAAGAAGAAGTCAAAGTCGAGAGGCTCAACTTCATTACACACGATTTAATCCCATGGCGCTCGGTCTCTCTCCGCAGAACGACTAGCCACCTACCGAGAGCGTCTCACAAAGCACGATCTATGCAGAACCAGCGACAATTCCCCAGTGATCTTCAAACAAATTTTAGTAGTGAACAGAGCGACGTAGCCGTAAAAGGAACCCACCACCTTCAGAGCGTGAGGCAAGCGGCTTGACCACTTCCCCAGGAGATCCCCCCCCACCCCCTTTAAAAAAAACATTTTTAGTCATTGATCGGAGTTACAACACGTTGGCAGAAAGACGACAAGCAAGCTAGTTTCAAGACGTTTTATTATCTTTGCTGTTGAAAACTATGTTTTGTTTTTCTGTTCTAACAGGATGGCATACCGATGACGTCTCTTTAATCAGAGAGCACCGAACAATCGTGGTTGTTACCTGTAGTTCATGGTGATGTTCATGTTTATGTACATTGTGTTTATCTGTTAGTTGTTCAGAAGCAACAAAATACGAGACGTGACATCTGAATGGTATGTTACAGTGTTCAACAAATCGTAAGTGTCATGTATTCGAAGATTAACCAGAGTCCATGTAGGTGTGAATATATAGAATTATCTGTTGTATTGCAGAAGAATAAAAGGAAATCAAATACAGAGGTAACGAGAATTGCTGAAAGAAATTTAAAACAAGAGACAAGTAAAAATGTTCAGCCATATTAAATGACAAAGCATTTTTGTTTTAAACTATGCGGAATCGAGGAATTAAAAACAAACGTGTACACATCGATTAAAATGGGAGGATATAAAGGGATGCACAAAAAGCAGGGTGAAAGATAATGCGTGTTGGAGATTCATTCAGCCAACTCTCATCGTGGAGACGGCCCCTGATTGATTTACACTAGTGTGATATTTGTAACTATGCTCCAGATCGCTTCAAGTCACAAGGCAAGAAAAGAAGAAAGGTTACAGTGTTTAAAGGTTGTAATGCCCAGCTCTCTAGCGAAGTTGGTTAAACCTGACTTTCGCGGCGGCCGGGTGACGAACTCCTTGTGGTCCGGGTTCACTCCCGGGGGTAGGCAGAAAAGCCACATTTCTCCCAGATTAAACGGTACCTATAATGGAATCAATGCCGAAGGGTTGCGATATCCATAGTACCGAGCCAAAGGGTTTACAACTCATGGTTTCTGGATACGAAAAAAAAAAAAAAGGTTGTAATATTATTAAACTTGTGGCTTCCGCTGTACTCCTTATCTACAATTTTTTTTTTTTTTTTTTGGCTCGTTAGTATAGATATCTCAACCATTTGGCCTTGATTCTATGATAGTACCGTAAATCTGGGAGAAATGTGGCTTTTCCGCCTGAAGCCGGACCACAAGGATTTCGTTACCCGGTCACCGCGCAGTCATGTTTAACCAACTGAGCTAGCGAGCCGGGAATTATCTGCATTAAAATAATTTGATATCACTGTGTGCATACAAGCCTAATGCCACAGTCAAGTCCTAAGAAACAAAGTCTGTTAACATTCCTGTGCCACTGCACTTATAGCCACCAGTGAAGTTACAGTATTCAGCATAGTTATAGTGCACACTAAAGTTATATCACCCACTGAACTTATTTAGCTCCCCCTACAATTATAGTGGCTACAAAAGTTGTGTCTGCTTAAGTTATAGAAACTTAAAAGCTATAGTGTCTATCAAAGCCATAAGAGCCATTACAGTCATTGCATCCACTAAAGTTATACAAGCAACTAAAGTTATACAACAAGCCACTAAAGTTATACAAACCACTAAAGTTGCAATGAATGCTAAAATAATAAACTGAAGCTGCGAAGCTGGTGCTTTGTGCTGCTCTCTCAACACATTACTATTGTTCTTCGGAGACAGAGACAGAATCGTAAAGGGCAAATCCGGATGCAGTGGAGTCAATCCCCAGTTCCTCAACCAGCCTTCCCATATCGCCAACCAGCATTGTATCTGTCCTCATCTCATCTTGATCCTCTTGTACCTTGCGGTGTCGAGGTGACCTACAATTTACGAGAGAGTGGGGATTCCCAGGGACTCTGTTATTTCCTCTGTCCATCGTTTGTATGGTTGGCCTCTTCTTCGCTTCCTGTCTGATCTACACATCATTGCTTGATGTGTCTGCTGTTTATTGGCATCCGCTTTAGTTGGTCCAAGCTTTTTATTCTGGTTTTATTATTTCCCACGTTGTTTCCGGTGCCCTTTTGTGGGGGAAACACGAAAAAACCCGCTGGCTTCCAAAAAAGTATGTCTTAGGAGTCGACTAATTCTGAGCTGGCTTCGAAGTCAGAGTTCATTTGCCCGAGTGGCAAGGAACAGCCAGCTGCCCACAAATAAAGCAGTAAAACGGATGTACACGCAAAGCTCAGGCCCAGGTACAAAGCCAAAGTCCAAATAGACGAACAATCAAGACTTTCCGCTGGAGCTTACAGCCAGTGAACAAAGTAGAAAAAAAAAAATTCAAATAAAATCCATAGTTGCCGCTACCGCCATTTTCCTTCTGGTTTCATCGTTTGTGATCTTATCTTTTCCTGTTATATTAAGAGCTCTTCGTAACAAGCACTGAACGATGAAAAATAAATGTTTAGTCTCGACTAGAGCTTTAATTGTGAAAACTGAGAGCTGTGAAGGTTTCACAGAGACAAATTACCTGTATTTGTGACTATGACTAGTGCCTTCTAAATCGTCAGTAATTTACTGTGAAGGTGTAAATATTGTGTCTGGTAATGATGATTTTTATGTTATTATAATAAGTTATTTTATTCGAACAAGTTGCTGTATTGTTATGTTGGTCACACACAAAAAGGGATTAAAATGTAATGAATTCATGTTGTTAATTAAGATGATTAATGTTGTTACGTTAGTAAGTTTTCTTAGCTGAATAATTCTGTCACAGTTGATGTTAATATCATTACTTTAGTGTTGTTACTTTATATCTACTCTTATCACACTGATCATGTTGTTATTTAAGTTGGCACGTGGCGTTATTTTGGGGGGATTGATGTTGTTATTTAAGTTTAATTTGGTGTTATTTCAGGTTACAAATGTTATTATTGTAATTTAATAATGCTTTTATTTCATGTAATAATTGCTATTTCAGTAGATCCGAGAAAGCTAACCAGCCAACAAATGTATTAAAAAGTCGTATGTGTTGGCCAAAGGCGCAAATATCACAGCCGTGCTGTAAAGGGACAATGCATTTAGTTCATTGGATAAGTGCAGAAAAAGAAGAAAGATTTCAGTAGATTAAAACTGACAGTCAATCAAATGGTTCGCCCACTTAAAGAGAATGTCTTGTGACCCCATATCTTTCAAATCATACATGAAAAGAGGAGAAAAATACAGCCATGGGGTGGACCAAGACCAACACAGGAAAGATATCATCAAAGAAACTCTACAACAGCACGCTGTGTCTAAGCTCGAGGTGTTCAGAAGAGCTAAAAGCAGAACCCTATAACTCCCTTGCCACCCAATGCGGTAACAGAGGAAATGAAGAAAAATAATACTGGGGTTTCAGAAAAATTGAGGGTGACAGAGATAAAGCTGCATTTATCTTTCTGTTTCTGTAATTATTATTCATGAAAAGCACTTAGCCAATGAAATATACTAATAAGAGAAAATTATTGAATCAAATGTGGTCACAAATTCCATTTACATCACCCACCAAGTGCCCACTGGTCTATACAAATTTAGGTCTAGCCCTATATTCCTAATACGCCTAAAGTCGTGGAAAAAGAACTTGCAAATTCCATTTTGACTGACATCAGTGTGATGCTTTCCATCGGTATCTTAAAGGAGAACTTCTTCTTAAATGATTCTTTCATATTCGCCTTCATTAGATCTTTTCCTCATCATTTTTTATTGGGTCGCCCTCTTCTTCTACTACCACTGATATTAGCTGTTGTCACAATCTTCTCCAATGTCAAGTATCAGGAGTTAGCACATCAATAATCAACCTATAACTCTGGTAAATGAACCGGTGTTGGAAGGCAATATCATTAACAGTAATATTCTTTAGTTCAAGTCGCGTTTGCAGTCACAGTTAAACAAGATAATGAGTAACAATTTTAAATGTAGAAACAACACAGGTTTTCATCATTAATATTATCATACTCCAGCATCATCTACTTCTCTCCCTTCTGATTCTCCTCCTCTTCCACCACTTCTTATTCTTCCTTCTCCTCCTCTTCTTGTTCTTTTTTCTCCTCCTCCTCTCCTTCTTCTTCTCCTTCTTCTACTTCTTCCTCTTCTTCTTTTTCTACTTTTTCTTTTTCTTCTTCTTCTTCTTCTTCTTCTTCTTCTTCTTCTTCTTCTTCTTCTTCTTCTTCTTCTTCTTCTTCTTCTTCTTCTTCTTCTTCTTCTTCTTCTTCTTCTTCTTCTTCTTCTTCTTCTTCTTCTTCTCCTCCTCCTTCTTCTTCTTCTCTCTCTTCTTCTTCTTCTTTCTTCTTCGTCTTCTTCTTTCTTCTTCTTCTTCTTCTTCTTCTTCTTCTTCTTCTTCTTCTTCTTCTTCTTCTTCTTCTTCTTCTTCTTCTTCTGCTAGCTTTATTTTGGAAACAAATTCGCACATAACACATATCCTGTCTATATTAGTGACGTTTGACAAGCACCATTTGCTGGATTGTCATATTGTTCTACACAATGTCACAGTTGTATTCCTGTTATGTCCATCTGACAAGAATCGAACTGATGAAGTTTTCTGTAAAAACAACTAATAACATTTTGTTTTTATCAACAAGCATTATGATTTATTATTATTGGTTAAATATCCACTTCTATCGTGGATCGGTTTACCTTTTTATTGTCTCAGTATTTTAAAGGTAAACTTTAGTCCTATAGACAAATGATGACGAGACCCTGGACAGAGATATAAAAAGAGTAATTTAGATATTTTGACAGAACCCGACCGGCGAAGATAACTGATCCCTCGTATCGGAAAAAGACAATCTACATTCGTTGGTCATGTGATGGGAAGGTGTAAGAGGAAGTACATCGTGATGGTGGGGTTGGGGGGGGGGGAGGGAGTAGCAGAAGGAGACTGAGGGAAAATATGCTGGATATTTTAACATCATGGCATGTAAGATCATCTGTGTCAGAATTGACTGAATGGCTTTAGGCTCAAGGCTGGAGCTTTCATGATCGAGTTACATCGTGTAGAAAGTACAACACTTGCAGGTGATGTTGTCTCACTGATCTCTGTTGGGTTTTTATGTTCGTTGAAAGTAGCAGAAGAGCTCTGTAACACAGAACCTGTAGATGTTTGTTTGATACTTGGTTATTGGAAACGTCTCGGCAACAGTTTCATCATCATCAAGTGCCTTGTCGATTAGCATGTGCGATCAGGTCTCTCCCCAACCTGCAGTCCCAACAGAATTTATTAGCCCATATTCT